TTCCCTCCAACGTCAGCAAGCCATGTTAGTGGTCTGCGGGATTTAAAATTAAGAGTTTTGTGGTCCCTGAGGTCCAAAAGGTTGGCGACCCCTGGACTAGAAGACCTTTAAGGTCCCTTCCAGCCCTATGATTCTGTATTCTCTCTGGATATTCTGACTGGCTCCATTCAGCTGCAGTAGTCCTCTGTCTCTTTGAAAAATCAGTGATAAAATAACTAGACATTGGGAAAAGCTTGAAGCAAGGCCTCCTGTCCTGTTGGAGATATTGTTCAACCTTTGTGTGCTTCTGTTTCCTATGGTGCTCTCTGTTCAAAAGGGAACAGTCTTGTCAATTTCACCTTTTTTCCTTTTATATCTTCATCCCCACATCTTACAGAAGCCTGAGAGAGAGCATTTTCTATTAGACCACCTATAGTGAGTTCATAACAGGGAGGATATTCATAGCTAGATTCTTAATCCAAAACTCAGTCCCTTAGCTGCTGCAGTGTTAGCACTGAGAGAAACAAGGCTATTTGCATCAAGAAATGATGTCTCTTCTGAGAGGTCATATGCCAGCGAACTACAGGATGGTATATCCTGAAGGCTGCCATATATATGTGAGCCAATATTAAGAAAATATGGAAGAATGTTATGGGGATTAGGTTCTGGTTAAGGAATTCTTATTACCCCTTCACAACACCCTGTTCTCTGCAAATGGCATTTCAGTCTTAGCTGTTCAGGCTTATTTGTCATTACAACTGTATTCATGGTATGTGTTGCAGCAAGTTGCCACTAATATCCATGTTTTATGTTGGTTGCTTAGGGTATCTGCATAAAGGAGAATATGAAGAACTGTATAATTACAAAGATAATTAGGGGTCTGGAGGCTAAAACAGGCACTGTTGCAGGAATTAGGTGTGTTTAGTTGGGGTGACGTGATACTGTTCCAATATCTAAGGGACTGCCACAGAAAAAAAGAAATCAACCTGTTCTCCAAAGTACCTGAAGGCAGAACAAGAAGAAATGGATGGAAACTAATGGAGAGAAGCAACCTAGAACTAAGGAGAAATATCCTGATAGAACAATTAATCAGTGGAATAACTTGCCTCTGGAAGTTGTGGATGCTCCATCAACTGGAGGTTTTCAAGAAGAGACTGGACGGCCATTTGTCTGATATGGTATAGGGCAGTGATGGCGAACCTTTTAGAGACCGAGTGCCCAAACCCACTTATTTATCTCAAAATGCCAACACAGCAATTTAACCTGAATACTAAGGTTTTACTACCTAAAATAATGATAAACAAGGCAGAGTTCAGCTGATTGTTCTAAGAACAATGTGATAAATGCACTTTTATCCCCCTTCATTTTTTGTCTGCTTTTGAAATATTACGTTTAGCAACAAAAAAGGAAAACTTCTGTAATATAATTTCTCTTTCCTCCTTTCTTTCCCTCCCTCTTTCTTTCCCTCCCTTTCACTTTCCCCCCTCTCTGTTTCCCTCCCTCCCTCCCTCTGTCTCTTTTTCCCTCCCTCTTTCTGTCTCTTTCCCCCTCTTTCCCTCCCTGTCTCCCTCCCCCTCTGTTTCTCTCTTTCCCTCCCTCCCTCTCTGTTTCCCTCTTCCCCTGTCTCTCTTTCCCTCCCCTCTCTTCCTCCCTCCCTCTCTTTCCCTCCCTTTCTCTGTCTCTTTCCCCCTTTCCCTCCCCCCCTGTTTCTCTCTCTTTTCCTCCCTCTCTCTGTCTCTCTGTTTCCCTCCCTCTAATCATAATGGACTCCAGGAGGAGGGGAACCCATCTCTTCCATTGTGAAGCGTGCTAAATTTCACTGTGCTGTGCAAGGTGCTGTGAGAGCAGCAGGCAGGCCATGGAGGCAGCAACAGCAAATGTACCGTGACGAAGGCGGAATGCTGTTTCATGCAAAGGCAAGTGTGGGGGCGCTTCGCTCCCGCACTAAGGCGAGAAATGCGATGGAGGAATGTGATGGAGCTGGGCTGGGGCGATGGCGCGCATGCCCACAGAGAGGGCTCTGAGTGACACCTCTGGCACACTTGCCATAGGTTCGCCACCACTGGTATAGGGTCTTCTGCTTGAGCGGGGGGTTGGACTAGAAGACCTCCAAGGTCCCTTCCAACTTCCATTATTTTGTTAACTGTATCAAAATGAAAATGAAGCTGAAGTGGACTTTGTAGGCCAATGTAGGACTTTGTGGGTTAATGCAGGGATGGTGAAATTTTTTTAAAAAATCTGTATAATGGATGAATTAGGAACATGAAAAATTTACTTCAAGTCCTGTTTGGACTAACTGATACTTTGGGTCACCTTTTGGAACAGTTAGAATAGTGTTTGTTTCTGAAGTTAAGCTTGTTTCTTATACTTGTTTCAGTAGAATCAATGCCCACTGTTCCAGTTGTGCATCTTTTTTCTTCCAGGTATCTCACTATAAGGTAACTCCAATCCTGTCGGAGTGTTTCTTATAGCAAACCATCAGCTTCTTGGATTTAGTTAAATACAGTATATTAGTCTAGACCAGGGGTCCCCAAACTTGGCAACTTTAAGACTTGTGGACTTCAACTCCCAGATTTCTCGAGCCAGCTGGAGAATTCTGGGAGTTGAAATCCACAAGTCTTAAAGTTGCCAAGTTTGGGGACCCCTGGTCTACACTAGACTACAGAGAATAGATAGAACAAGACTCTTAAATGCTATATTGTAAGCCCATGTTTCTTAATCTTGTCAATTTTAAGATGTGTGGACTTCAACTCACAATGCTGGCTGGGGGATTCTGGGAGTTGAAGTCCACGTATGTTAAAGCTGCCAAGGTTGAGAAACAGTGCTGTAAACATGCTATTGCTCAGCTGGGAAATTTGAGTGGTGGCAGCATAGAGAAAAGAAAGTGTTTCTGTATACAACAGATTAGTAAACTTTCAGATTCTGCTGCCACAAGTTTTGGCAATGATGTATAACAGAGGTAGGTTTTTTTAAAAAAAGCAACCTACGAAGTAGGCTTATCAGGTACATCTGTGATCACTCATTTCTGCAGTTTATTTTGCTATTTATTGATATTACTGCAGCATTTTCCAGTCTGTTGCAGTTCAGATGTGTTTCCATCATCTCCAACCGGCAAGCTAGATATTACAGGAATTAAATCCAACAGTAGCTTCATTCTTATAATATTGTCTCAGGGCAGGAATGGGGAACCAGCTTTAGACTACAATTCCCACAATCCAGTTGGCTGAAACAAATGGGAGCTGGATTCTAAATATTCTCCCTTGTAAGGCTGCAACAGGTCAGGAATGGGAGTTGCTCTTGTCCTAGCTGCTTGGACTGAGTCTGTTTAAAAGGCTTATTAGCCTAGCTCCGCCCACTCTGGGTGGCTCCTCCCATCTTTTGACTCAGTCCTCAGCCAGGATGGACACAAGTCACTGCCTCTCCTGCCTTTGTGTTTTTTCCAAAGGCAGCCTTACTTCGTGAGAAAAAGAAAAAGCCTCAAATTTTTGAAAACACACGGCTCCAACTCTCAGCTGTTCTTCCGAGCCATGCAACAGCTGAGGCTGCTCTGGCAGTCCGGAGCAGCCTGCAGAGGGCCGCGGGGCTGTTTTCGGGCCTCCACAGTGAAGAGGAAGCCGCAAATTCTGGGCGGCCATTTTTTGGGGTGGGCGGCTTCGGCCCGCTCTGTCCTGAGCTGCAGGGCCATTTTGGAGCTTCCGTGGTGAAGAAGCCACAGTTTCAGCGGCCAGCTTAGGAGCTGTCCCTGCCCTCCAGGGAGCAGCGAAAGGCCGAGGATCCCCTTCCAGGGCTCCTCAGTGAAGCAAGCAGCCTTGTGGCTGAAAGCGGCCAGTTTGAAGACCTCATGGCTGAGGGTGGCCATTTTGAAGACTTCCTGAGCCAGAGGTAGCCATTTTGAAGAGGCTCAGTCTGCTCCTCCATAGCCACTCCTGTGCCTTGGCCAGCACTAGGCCATTGGCCTCTAGTCATTGCTAGGCCAGAAGACAACACACGCTAGGCGCTGTTTAAAATCATTCTGGTGGGGGACTGGTCCCTATCCTGAAGTAGACCAGGGACTTCAGGCTTCGTGCCAAGCCTGGTCTATATTTAATAGCCCTATTAAGCCCCAAGGGGTGCGAGTCCCAGTAGGAAGTGTTAAAACATCCTACTGAAGATTGCATAGGGCTGAAGAAGGGTGGTTGTTGGAGGTAGGGGATTAGAAAGAAATATCCCCTGAATTTGTTGAAGAAATCCTTTCGTGTGTTCTCCTCCTTACACAGGACTACAAGTCCAGAGAAGGCCTTTCTGCTTTCAAGATGGCGGACGCCCCTAGAGACAGCAGAGCCTCCAGAGTGGCAAGATCACACAGGGCAGCTCCAGCTGCTTCAAGTAAGGGAAAGCAGCCAGCAAAAAAGGCCTCTAAAGCGGAGGAGAGGGATATTTCCAGGCACCATCAGGCTTTAGAGAAGCATATTGCCAAGGTACAGCAGGCCTTTACAATCAGATCTCCAGAAAGAGTATCTTCTCCTGCATCGCATCACAGTTAGGTGGACCTTCAGGATCAAGAGCCTGGACCTTCCTCCAGGACCATTGTCCAGACTTGGTCCCCAATGCAGCTGGAGGGGAGGCTTCTCTTTATCCCTCAGCTGAGGGAAGTCATCATGGTGATCCTCAATGAGGATTCAGGGCTGTACCTTGGCAGGAGCATGAGTGCAGTAGGCCTGGGGTGGAGGCCTCTTTTACTCCTACTGCAGCTGGCCTTAGAGCTGTTGAGCCTTCTGAGTCAGATGTCCCGGTCAATCTGCAGCTCTTGATTGATAAGGCTATTAGGAAAGGTATCTGAAGGTATTCAGAGGTTTGCCCGTCATTCTTCAGTGGCTTCTGAAGTTTCAGAAGGATGGTCCTGGGATTGAGAGGCTCTACTTTCAGAAAGGGGTTCCTTGATTCAAGAATGTGTTTCTCCTTGGAGTTCCAGTTTGCAGTGCTTCGGGGCAGGCAGGAATCCGCGATCGTGCGCGGTTTCTGCCTGCGCTTGCCGCTGGAGTGCCCCGAGCCACCCGGCTTCAGGGCTAAGCCACCCCATAGAAGGTGGTGAAGACAGGGGAGATCGGGCAGGGTCGAGAGGAATTGCACCTCTCCTCCCCAGCCGGCTAAACTCCCTTTTCCGAAGGCGGTAGAGCGGCGGTTAGAAATGGTCGCCTCAAAGAAGCACTCAGCTGGAAAAGAAAGTGCAGGAGGAAGTTAAGAAGTGAAAGTTTTTTGGCTGACCGGGACACAAAGTAACAACTAAGGTACCCTGGATTTTAAAATTTGCAAAAGATACATCGTTCCCAAAGACTTGCAAATGGCGAATGAAAGTTAAAAGGGAAAGTTCTTTTTTTTCACTCTCCTTCCTAACATTGACAGTGAACAGAAAAGAATGAGAAATCGGAAAAACCCGCTTTGGCATCAATAGGTAACTAAAATGGATAATTAAATGTCAAGGGGATAATAAGGATTTCTGAACATTTAAAAAAAAATTTTTTTTTTGCTGTAAGTGGGAAGGGAGAGGAAAAGAATAGGAGCAGGATTTGGAAGACAGGAGGAGATTGCCTAGAACTTAAAAGAATTATTAAATACTAACAAGACTTCTAAAAGATACATTTGAACTGGAATTTGGTAACTAAACAGTAACCCCAGGAAGAGAAAGTGAAGAAAGAAGAAAGTGTTAAAAGAAACAGCTTATTTGGACTGCTTGGTGATTTTGGGACTTTTGGAAATTATATTTGAAGGACTAAAAACATTTGGGTGGTTGTTTGGAAAAAAGTTTTTTTTTCTACAATGGCGTCGCTTGTGGATGAACTGCAAATTGAATTAAAAAAATATAAAGAAGAGGAACAAGAAGGGAAGGGCTCTCTTAGCTCTCTTTTTCAATTCTTAGAAATGGCGATCTGTACCTATGAGAAACTGACTGTGCAACAAGATGATTGGGACAAAGAAGAAGCCATCTTCAATGAACAAGTAACTTTACTTGGGGAAGAAAGGGGAAAGGAGGAAAAGAAAATGGAGACTTTAAGATCTAAAAAAACAACCAAAAATGGGAAAAATAAGGTGAAAACTGGATATAATGTTAGGAAACAACAGAAAGGGGGAATACAGAAGAGGGAAATGGAGGTGGAGAGACAAGGGGATAAAAAGGGCAGGGAGAAGAAGCAAGGGAGGAAGGAAGGGATGAGAGAATTGAATTAGGAAGGAATGGGAACATTTTAATGACACAATGTTTTAAAATATAAGTGAAGTGGGGGGGAAATAACTATGGAAAGTTTATAAGTGTTCCCATAAAAGTATGATATTCAACTGAAAAGTAATGTGTAAAATGTTCAAGATTTAAATGAATATTAATATTAATGATAGATTTGAATTGGTATGGATTGTTTTAATTATATTACATATTTATAATCTTTTCTTTTTAAAAAAATATAGTGTGTAACTTTAGAATGTACTAAGCAGAATCCAAATGGAAGTTATGTACTATGCTAAGAGTTATAAATTTAGGGGAAAGAGATAAAGGCGTCATACTCCAATCAGTGTACAGGAGAAATTTTGTTTAAAGGGAAAAGATAATAGATAGCTGGAAACAGGACAGACAAAGAATAATAAGCATAATGATCTGGACTGAGATGAGATAAAATAAAATCAAGAAAGTTAAAAGAGGGGAAAAGCTATATAGAAAATGTAAAATGGCAATAAGATATGGAATGGTATATAAAATGAGCATGAATTTGAATTTGTGTCTGTATGAAAAGATGTAACCCGGGATCAAGCTGCTTTCAGAAAAGATGTTTTATGGTTTTATGTTTTGTTTGTTTGTGTATTGTTTTTGAAAATCAATAAAATTTGTTTAAAAAAAAAGAATGTGTTTCTCCTTCTGTTTCGGCCTATGCTCCTGTGGTTGCTACTGGCATTCTTTGGTTGGCGAACCAGACAAGAGGGAGTCTGACATGTTGGAAGATGAGGGAGTTACCCCTGTCATTCCAGTGTTCACAGGCTGTTTTAAGCATGTTTTATTCACTCCTTTGTTGTTCAAAGTGAGAAGTACTGCCAATCTGAAGGACGCAGATGATGAGGAAGCAGCTACTCAGCCTCCCATGGAATCGGATGTCCTCTTCAACGAACTGGCAGTGAGGAGGGAGGTGGTGCCATCTCCCAGGCTCTTTCTGAAAGTCATTCAGAAACAGCTGGAGTCACCTGCCCTTGTCTTCGGACCGCAGGTTTTTCAATGTTGGTCCTGAGCTCACCAAGACCCTTCAGGTGCCCTTGGTTGATGCTCCTGTTGCAGCATTAGCCTTCAACTTGTCAGCTCCTTCTGATCCAGAAGATGTCCTCAAGGCGGAGGAAAAGCAGATTGAACAGTCTCTTCAGAGGTCGCACCAGGTCAAGGCATCTATAGCAGCTTCATTCTTCACCAGGGCATCTCTTAAATGGTTGAAGCAGCTCCAAGAGAGAATTCTGGTGGCAGATATCCGGGCACATCAGGACCTCAATAAGATCATGGCTGCGACTGAATTCACAGCAGATGCCGCTCTTCATTGGGCCAGGTTTGCCACCAAAGCTATCACTTCATCTGTTGCAGCCAGATGGATGTGCCGGTTGCATAATTGGCAGGCTGATGGAAGAAGGAAATGGAAGCTGGCTTCAACTCCTGTTCGAGACAAACTATTTGGGGAAACTTTGGAACCATTCCTGGTCGAAACCAAAGACAAGAGGAAAGTGCTTCCATCCCTTTTCAAGAGAGCAGAAAACTGGCCTGCTCCATATTTCAAGCGCCCATCGTTCAGGGGTGAATTGGGATCCAGCTTCCATCATTCAGCCAAGGCCCCTTACCAACGTCCTGAGCCACCTCCAGATTGTTCAGGCAAGGGAAGACAGCAGTTCTCGGCTAAACGGCCCTTTCGAAGAGGAGGAAGTGGCCGTACCATCGCCAACACTAACATTGCTCAGTCTTTCTCCATTGGCAGACGATTGGTTTGGTTTGCTGACAAATGGGGGAGATAACTTCAGACACCTGGGTGTTAAGTACAGTAAGATCAAGTTTTTCATCTCCTGCCCTATTTCTAGGGATTCAGTGAGAAGGGGGCTCATGGAGTCAGCTATCCAGCACTTGCTGGAGCTCAGAGCCATCCAAATGGTCCCAGTGGACCAACGGGATGGGTTTTTACTCCAGAATCTTCATAATCCCCAAGGCCTCAGGGGGGTAGAGGACAATTCTTGATTTAAAAAGGATCAATAAGTTCATAGTTTACAGGCGTTTTAAAATGCATTCTCTCCAGACCATTCTGGAGAGTGTTAGGCAGGGGGACTTCCTCACATCCATTGACTTGACAGAAGCTTACTTACATATTTCTATCTGTCCTTCCCATAGGAGGTTCTTAGGGGCAGCACTTCCGATATAGGGCCTCTCCCCTTTGGGTTATCTTCCGGCCCTAGAGTTTTCACCAAAGTTTTGGCTCCCCTGGCAGCGCATCTTTGTTCCTTCCCAGTGTAACTGCAATGTTATTTAGACGATATTTTGATACTGCCTTCTTTTCAAAGGGCTCAGCGGGACCTGCAGACCACCACCTCAGTTCTGCAGGATCGTGGTTTCTCTATTAATATTAAAAAGAGCCATTTTACCCCTTCAACTCACCACTTCATTTGGGGGCCATCATTAACACAGGGGTTTCTCAGGTTTTCCTTTCACAGGAAAGGCAAGACAGCCTGCAGCTGCTGGTGAAAGGTATACTGAGAAAGAGTTCTACTCCTTTAGCTCATCTCTCCCAACTTCTGGATAAGATGATTGGTATTGGTATTCTTCCCTGGGCCAGGCTTCATGCCAGGGCCCTTCAGTGGTTTCTATTGCCTCATCAGAAGGCCGGTAAGAGTCACTCTTTAATGAAGGTGAAGGTGCCCAAGCAAGTGTTGTGTTCCTTTCAGTGGTGGTTCTCCAGAGCCATTTCCGAGGGCCAGTCATTCAAGGTGGAGGACAGACTCATCCTCACAACTGATGCCTCCTTATCAGGTTGGGGAGCTCACCTAGCTTCTCATTTGGCCCAAGGCTTCTGGTCAGCTGAGGAACAACTACACAACATAAATTGGTTGGAGTTAAGAGTGGTCCGTTTAGCTCTTAGAAAATTTAGTCAACATGTCTCTGGCTCTCATGTTCTTGTCATGATTGACAATGTAGCCACTAAAGCCCATATTAACAGACGGGGGCACCAGGTCCAAATCCCTTACATCAGAAGCGGAAGCTTTGGGCAGAGCGTCACCTTCTGTCCATCTGGGCTGAGCATATTTCTGGCTCGGATAATGTGTAGGCTAACTGGCACAGCAGAGCCACTATTGACCACACGGAATGGAGTCTGCACCCTTCTCTCTTTCTAAAGATTACTCAGAGATTTGGGCTTCTAGTGGTAGATTTGTTTGCTACTCCTCTCAGTGCTCAATTACCTAGATTCTTTACTAGATTTGCCACTCCGGGGGCTGAAGGGACTAACGCCTTATGCAGTAAGTGACTGCCAGGTTTGTTATATGCTTTTCCTCCATTGCCTTTGCTGGTGGCAGTGGTACAAAAAGTTTTGACAGAAAGAGCTGAACTGATTTTAGTGGGCCCTTATTGGCCTCGGCACCCTTGGTTTGCGGATTTAATGGGTCTCTCAGTGGTTTAGACTTGGCGGATTCCTGAAGAAGATATCTCTCTCCTCCAGAGGTCCCTGAGTCATCCAGAGCCCCAGTGGCTACAACTGGCAGTTTGGCGATTTAGCATGCTAAAACGCGCCCATTTCCAACAAAGTAATCAGAACCATTCAGGCCTCCAGGAGACCTTCGACCATCTGTATCTATGATGCTACCTGGCAAGCTTTTTCTCATTGGTGCTCCAAATCAAACATCCAGCCTTTAGAGGCCTCTGTAGCTAATATTTTGGAGTTTTTACAGGATGGGTTGGATAGAGGCCTTTTTCCCAACACCCTTCGTCAGGTGGCGATTTCTTCGGTGTTGACTTGTGGCAAATTGGCGTCTTTGGCACAGCATCCTACAGTCCGTAGGTTTCTCACCAATCTTCTCTCTCCAGTGGTACACAGGCACCCTACATGGGATTTGTCTAGGGTTTTGCAGTCCCTTACTAAGGCTCCATTTGAGCCTCTAAGGCAGGCTATTCTGCACCTTCTTACCCTGAAAGTAGCCTTCTTGGTGGCAGTCACTTCAGCCAGAAGAGTATTGGAGTTGGTTGCCCTCTCAGTTCGCCCTGATCTATGTATATTTCACCCTCACCGGGTGGTTTTGAGGTTAGAACCAGCATTTTATCCCCAAGGTCAACACTTTGTTCCACAGGTCTCAGCTGGTGCTTCCAGATTTTTGTTCCCATCTGGTCCATGACTTGGAGAAAGCTTGGCACACCTTAGATGTGCGTAAGGCACCGAAGGTCTATATTAAACGGACATCTGAATTCCTCAGGACAGAATCTCTTTTTTGTTCCTTCCAACCTTCCATGTTGGGGGGAAAAGTGACTCCATCCACAGTTGGCAGGTGGATCAAGGCATGTATATTCAGGGCATACTCGAGTCGGTCCCTCCCGGTACCCAGAGGCATTATGGCTCATTCCACTCACAGCGCTGTGACAACTGCGGCCTGCGCAACGCAAGCTTCAATTGAAGTCTGCAAGGCAGCCACTTGGTCATCCCCTTCTCCTTTCATTCACCACTACCATTTGGACGCCTTTGCTTCAGTGGATGTGGCGTTTGGCAGAAGGGTTCTGCAAAGAGTTGTCTTGTAGCATGGGGACCAGGACCAGTCTTAATCCTTCCCAAGGACAATCCAGCTTTGGTATGTCCCATTCCTGACTTGTCGCAGCCTTACAAGGGAGAATGGGTGTTCTCTTACCTGAACACCTGTTCTCCTTGTAGGCAAGACAGGTCAGCCCCACCCTGATGGAACTGGTCCTTCCAGTGGGCCGATGGGAGGGGGGAACTGATAATGGTCTCTTGTGATTTTTGTTTTTCTCAGAGGCAGTCCTGTCTGTCGTGATGACTTCGCAGAAAGTTGGGAGGAACCACCCAGAGTGGGCGGAACTAGGCTAATAAGCCTTTTAAACAGACTCAGTCCAAGCAGCTAGGACAAGAGCAACTCCCATTCCTGACCTGTCTAGCCTACAAGGAGAACAGGCGTTCAGGTAAGAAAACGCCCATTTTAAAGGTTACCAGGTTGTTCTTTCCTGGTCTGATATTATGATTTTATTTTTTTATTTTTATTTAAAATAAACTTTATTAAGATTAAAAAGAAAAATATGTACAGTACATAGAATACAACCTTTCGTTACAAACAAAATATACAATTGCATAACAAATAAACATAAAAATAAAACGTATACATTTCTAATCAACTAAGACAGTGTGATCTTTTATTGAAAACAATTTTACTAATATTCAGTTCCTGGTTTTGGTAAACGCTCTTAATCTAACCACTTCATTTTTCAAATTCTTATCTTTTAATTCCCTGGTTTTTTGTCTTTAATCCACTTATACCATTTTTCCCAAGCTGTACGATGTCTTGAGTCTTCCTTAATCCCTAAGTTTTTGTCTTAAGTAGGTCCATTTCAGCGCAGTCAAGAACTTTCTGAATAATCAAATTATTTGTCGGCATTTGGTCACCCTTCCAGCATTGTGCCAATGCAATTCTTGCTGCCGTAATTATATGGAGAGTTAAATATTTCGTTTCTTTTGCATGAGCTTAGTTTTATTCTTGCTTTTTTCCCTAACCAAATAAATTTCATAGTAATTTTATTTAATTCATTAAAAATGTTTTGTCTAATTTAATTGGAATAGTTTGAAAGAGAAATAGTATTCTTGGCAAGATGTTCATTTTAATGGTCGCAATTCTCCCTAGCATTGATAGTTGTAATTTTCCCCATTTTTCTAAGTCTTTTTTTATTTCTAACAATAATTTAACATAATTATCTTCTTTTGTTGTTGAACATCTTGCCGTGAGCCAAATTCCTAGATACTTAATTTTTTTAACAATTCGTATACCCATTACCTCTACTAATTTCTTTTTTTGTTTCTCTGTTAAGTTTTTTGTTATCATTTTGGTTTTATCCTTATTAATTGTTAATCCTGCTACTTCTCTGTATCTCTATTTCTTTAATTAATCTTGGTCCTGACTTTATTGGTTCTTCTATGAAGAATACAAGGTCGTCCACAAATGCTTGGGCCTTGTATTCTTCTTGTTTGATTCTTAGTCCTTTCTTTTATTCCTGAATTCTGTCTGACTCTCCTTAACAAAATTTCTAGTGTCATGATAAAGAGCAGAGGTGAAAGTGGACATCCCTGCCTGACTCCTTTTCCTATCTCAAATGAGTTTGTCATTTCTCCATTAATTATTATCCGTGCTTTTTGGCTTGAATATATTGACTCTAACATTTTTTCAAATTTGTCCCCAAATTTCATCTCCTTTACTTGCTGCCTCATGAATTGCTAATTTACTTTATCAAAGGCTTTTTGAGCATCCAGAAAAACTAGTACAGCCTGTTTGTCTGGATGTGCCTCATAGTACTCCAGGAGATCTAATACCGTCCTTGTATTGTTTTTAAGTTGTGTTGTTGGAAGGAAACCATTTTGATCTGTATGTATGTATCTTCTCAGTATTTTTTTAATCTCTTAGCCATTATATTCATAAATACTTTGTAGCCGGTGTTCAATAAAGAAATTGGTCTATAATTTTTTATCTAGGTGGTATCTGCACTCCTTCGGTATCAATGTAATGTATGCTTCTCTCCATGACATTGGTAGCTTTGCCTCTTAAGTGCCTCATTATAAATTTCTAAAAGAATTGGGTCAAATATTTCACCTAAATTTTTATATAGTTGTACAGGTAATCCACCTGTTCCGGGGGTTTTATTATTATTTTGTTTACTAATTGCCTCTTTTAGTTCCTCCTTAGTGATCTCTTCATTTAATCTTTCACTTTCTTCTTTTAGTATTGGAATATTTTCTTCCTCTAAGTACTGTTTAATTCTCTCTTTACTCATATCTTCTTGTTTATAGAGTTCACTAAAATATTCCAGTACTATTTCTTTTTTCTTTTCCATATTGTTTTGTACCTTTCCCTCCTTATCTTGTAATTGATGAATCCATCTCTTTTCTTTTTCCTTTCTTAACCTATATGCAAGCCACCCTCTTGGCTTATTTGCATTTTCAAAATAATTTTGCTTTACTAATTTCAATGCTCTTAAATTTCTTTCCTGTTCCAATATGTTCCGTTTATGTTTGGCTATGTTACATTTGCTTATAATTTGCTCATTCTCAGTTGTACGGGTCGGATAATCCAAAGCGTGGGCTGTCTCCTGCTTCCTTGCTTAAAGATAAAGTCAATCAAAGTTTAGTCCAGCCCCCTTTCCACTGCGCATGCCCAGTTTTTGACTCCGTCTTCATGCAAAGAAGACATGAGGAGAGAGTGCTCAGAAAGAAAGATAGAAAATATAGTAATAACACTTTGGATTCTTCGAGAAAAAAAGAGGAAAAAGAGAAAGAGTGAAAGTCAGCAAACCGTGAGTAAGCGAAAGAGCCGGGATCTCATACCAAGCCGGGAAAGCCCCACATAGCTGCTTGGTGCTAAAAAGGGCAAGCGGCAGCAGCCTCAGTAAGAGTGGGTGGGCTCTTGATCGGCTAGCAGAGAAAGAGGGCTAATTGACAAACGCTTGGTCATCCCATAGCTTTTTAAAAAGCCAAGAGCCACACAAAGTCTCCAGTGTTCCCTTTAATAGGAGCAAACTCAGTCTAAGGCTGAGCAAGCTCCCAAAACAGCCACACAAGCCTATACAGGAAAAAGGGAGGCTAGAGTCCATATTCAGTCCAGGTTGAGCATACTCATAAACGGTTAAAAAGGGGCAACTGCATTCTGCTGAACTCTAGCGAGGCCGAAGCTGTCGGGAAGAGCCAAGGGAAATATTATGGCTGATTTTTTTCAAACGGAGGCAGGTCCAGAGGAACAGGAATTCCCTGCCCCCAGCCCGATCAGAGGGCAAAGCACAAAGGGACCCAGAGAGGCTGGGAGATCTTCAGAAAGGCTTCTCAGCAGGGTGTCCAAGGCAGACGAGAGAGAGAGAGAGAGAGAGAGAGAGAGAGAGAGAGAGAGAGAGAGAGAGAGAGAGAGAGAGAGCGAGAGAGAGAGAGAGGGGGGGGGGGGGCAGGCAGGCATTAAGGAGACAAAAGGCCATTGAGAAATGCTTCTCAAGGGCTGAAAAGGAGGCGGAGAAGAATGGAAATTCCCGTGCTCTGACAGGCAAACCAATGACAGCAAAGTATCAGGAAAAGAGCACAACACGAGAGGGCGCTGAAGAACAGTCCTTTCAGCCTGCTCTTTCTGTGGAAGAAGGAATGTGTGAATCAGAAAAACAATGCTCTCAGGCATGCAATGAAGAGCCCTCCCCCAAGAGAAGAAGGCTATCAACAGAGGCTAGCTGTTCTCCCATAGCAGAGTGAGTCAGAGAACAGTTCTTTAAAGAGGAAATGAGGGCCATGATGAGAGAAATGATGGCAGAATTCAGAGAGAGTCAGGGTAACAGATTCAGCCTGATACATAATGAGAGAAGGAAGGATGCTCATCATCCTACTTGGGCAGAAGAAGTAAGGGAGGAACTGGGCTTCCAAAGAAACAGTTCCAGTAGATCATACACTCACAGTGAGGCCTCTGTATCAGGAGAGGATGACTACAGGGAGTCAGCCTTTTTAGATGAAAAGGTAAATGAAGCAGAGACTCCAGCATTCACAGGCCTATTCCCTCACCAGCTGTTTAAGATGCTGCTGGGGAAGGCTAAGATAGCAACAGGTCTGGGGAGAATCACAGGGACAGAGGGGTCTGAGTTAGAACTATCTGATCCCAAAGATAGATCTTTTGCTAGAACCAAGGTTGATAGTGAATCCATACCTTCACCTGACTTGTTCAGGGAAGTGATGGAAGGACAGTTGGACAGACCAGTTATTTTCCCCATGCCAGAGAGGAATGAGAAGAGATTTTATAATGCGGAACTAGCGGACCTAATTCCAGTTCCCACGATAGACAGCCCAGTGGCAGCCTCCATGTCTGCTACAGTGCTGGCTAATGAAGCTGAGGATGGTCTAAAAGGGGAGGATAAGAAAATGGAACAGACCCTACAAAAGGTACACCAGGCCGCGGCATGGTCGGTAAAGGCAACATCCATGGCATCCTTTTTCAGCAGAGCAGTCCTGATATGGCTAGAGCAGATGCAGGAGGATACCACCTGGCGATCTTCAATTGCAACAGGACTTGAACAAAATAACTGCTGCAACAGAGTTCATAGCAGATGCCACACTTAATGGGGTCAAGTACGCAACCAAGGCCATAGCAGCTTCAGTGGCTGCAAGGCGACTTGTTTGGCTCCGTCACTGGCAGGCGGATCTGAAACATAAATGGAAACTGGCATCAGCTCCTGTTAAAGGGGACAAACTTTTTGGGGATGCCATTGTGATGACCTATAGTGTCTCAAAAATAACACAAAAACTAAAACATGAATCAAGGTCTTGTAATGCCTTCAACTTAGCTTCGCTGTTTTATTAGTCACAGTTTAAATTCAAAAAGTAGATAAGGAAGCAAAAGGAAACCAAAAACAAACCGCATTGATGAGAGTTCCAAGGCAAACCAAGATGATTAATCACAAATTCCAGGAAGATAACCGGGGAGAGTCCATGGGAAGAACGCCAACAAAGATAAAACTCATCCAAGGAAAGCACTAATTTGACTCCAGCGTCTGTGAACACGCAGTTCCAAACTCTTATACAGAGCTCACAGCTGCAATCTGTTATCATATGTACAGAATAACCCTTGAGTAACAAGGATATGCACATGGAAACGTTTATGAGAATAATTATGAATAATTATTCAGCCACACACAGCTACACTAAATTGAGTTAAAGTTTACTTTAAGAAATAGCACAGTCCAATAAACGGTCCAGGTCATATACGTTTTACAGTCTAAAGAATATCCAATTACAAAATCATCTTACCGGTTGCCTTTGTCATTTCCAGTAAACAAAGATATGAAAGTATAAGCACAGCATAACTACAACAGAGAACCTTAGATAGCAACAAAATGTCAGAGAAACAGAATGTCAGAGCAAGCTATGATCTCTAGCTCCCTCTTATGGTTGTTTGTGATATAATCAACCAATCGGAATATAGTATAAATCAATACAGTGATTTTGTCTTTAAGCTACAAACATACATTGTTGGTTTATATATTGCCAACCCAACTAATAGGTGTACAGATTCCTAACACAACCCATGAGGAGGGTCATGGCCCTCTCCTCCCGAGTAGACCATGCTTTTCCCTGATCCTCTCCTCCCTGCGTGCCCTAGGATGGATAGGGGATGGGCCTGGATCCTCCTCTGATTGCTCAGCTGGCCTCTGCCCTTCCCCAGCCGCCTCCACCACCTCTGGAGCCACACTTCCACTCCCTGTTGGTTGTTCCCCCTCTTCCTCAGAATCACTCTCCACAAGGGGCATGACAGCCATTGAGCCATTATTGATAGAAACCAAGGACAAGAGGAATGTCTTGCCAAGGAAATTCAGTCAGGCAGATAGGCAATCTTCACCATATACACCGCCACAGCCCTTTCCTATCTTGGGGGAGTGGCTTCAGCCACTCCCAGTACCCACAGAGGCAGTACACACAGACCCCTACTAGACATCCAAATAGGTCAGGATTTGGAGATGGGGTGGACAACGGTTCCAGGGAAGACGCTCTTTCAGGAGCTCGACCAGCAGGGCCTTCCAGCATACAAAGTGACAGCCGGAACAACGCGCCCATCAACGGGAGACTGGGCCTATTCACCGACTGATGGGAGACAACAACTATGGACAAGTGGGTCTTCGACACATTAAGAAGAGGCCTAGTTCTTGAATTCATCTCCATACCCCCGAGCTCATTCAGAAGATGCCTGATGCCAAGAGACAGAGCCAAAAGGGTAATTATGGAAACAGCAGTTCAACATCTGCTGGACATTCGGGCAGTACAAGTGGTACCGGAGAATGAACAGGGACAAGGGTTCTATTCAAACCTGTTCATTGTGCAGAAGGCGTCGGCGTGGAGACCAATTTTGGATCTCAAATTACTAAACAGGCACATAGTGTACAGGAGATTCAAGATGCAATCCCTGCAATCTATACTAGGGAGCATCTAGGAGGGGGATGTCCTGACATCAGTAGAACTCACAGATGCTTACCTACACATACCTATTACCAAGAGGGACCGAAAATTCCTGCGGTTTTGTTACGCAGGGAGACACTACCAGTACAGAGCTCTACCATTCGGCCTGTCCTCGGCACCAAGGGTAATCACCAAGTTACTGGCAGTGGTAGCAGCCTTTCTCAGGACAAAGCCCATATGGGTCCAATATTACTTGGATGACATATTAATACAGTCAACATTGACTCTTAAGAGCAAAGAGTGATCTAGAAACCACAATACAGACATTATAAGAGCATGGCTTTTCGGTGAATTTGGAAAAGAGCCACTTAGAACCGACAAGGCGTTTACAACACTTAGGAGCTGTAATAGACACCAACTCCTGCGAGGTTTACCTGTCACAGAAAAGACAGGACAGCATAAGGTCATCAGTAAATCAAGTGAGCACAGCCCCGGGTGTGTCCCTGGACTTGCTGTCACAAATATTAGGGAAGATGATATCGTGCATCTTGATAGTACCTTGGGCCAGACTGCACGCAAGGACCTTGCAGTGGTTCCTATTACCTTACCAGAGAGCAGGCAAGGGCAATGCAGGAACCAAGGTACAAGTCCCCCCCCAGAGTGAAGCAGTCACTCCAGTGGTGGAGATCACAGGCAGTGATGAGGGGATGTGGGTTCAAGGAACCCATCCGACTGACTATCACAACAGATACAAGTTTAGTAGGCTGGGGGCCCCACTGTCAGAACCAGATTACACAGGGTCAATGGTCTCAGTCAGACCTCATGAACAACATCAACTGGTTAGAGCTCAGGGCATCTCACCTGGCTCTAAGGGCCATCAAGTCAGTGATAGTGGGACAGCATGTGTTGATCCTGATGAACAACATGACTGCCAAGGCTCATATCAACAGGCAGGGGGGTACTCCCTAGAGCTCATGCAAGAAGCAGAGCAATTGGGCCACTGGGCGGAGACACACCTATCAATCAGGGCAGAACACATATCAGGAGTGGAAAACGTTTAGGCCGATTGGCTCAGCAGAACAACGGTCGACCACTCAGAGTGGCACCTACACCCGGACCTGTTCAGGGAACTGTTGCACAGATTCAGGACAGCAGTCCTGGACCTGTTTGTGACTCCAGCAAATGCACAACTCCCGAGATTCTACTTGAGATTCCCAACACAGGGAGCGGAAGGAACCAGTGAGCTCCGAGGAGCACGGCCAAGGGGATTGTTCTACACATTTCCCCCACTTCTGTTGGTACCAAGGGTAATCAAGAGAGTGATAGAAGAGGGGGCAGAGGTTTTAATGGTAGCACTTCACTGGCCCAGGAGGTCTTGGTACGTGGATCTGGTAGATCTGTCGGTATCTAGACCATGGAGAATTCCCCCAGACTGGGTAGAATTGAGCCAGGGAGCCATACAACACCCAGAGCCACAATGGCTTCAACTAACCGTATGGCACTTGAGAGGGCCACGCTAAAGCGATTAGAGTGTTCAGCCAATGTAATACAGACATTCCAGGCATCCAGGAGGCCATCCACCAACAGAATTTATGATGCTACTTGGAGAGCATTTGGAACCTGGTGTTCCAAGAAACAAATAGATCCAACCACAGTGTTAGTTACTCAAGTGCTCAATTTTCTCCAGGAAGGCCTGGAGAAGGGTTAACCTCAACACCTTACGGAGGCAGGTAGCAGTGATAGCATCAGTGTTGGGTTGTGGGACGTCGGAGTCCCACTCACAACATCCCCTAATCTGTACGTTCATCAGGGGAGCAACCAATCTAAAGCCACCAGTGATACACAGGTACCCTACTTGGGATTTGACAAGGGTGCTAAGGGCGCTCATGACTGAGCCCTTTGAACCGCTGAGGTCAGTAAGATTACCCTCACTCGCTCTTAAGGTGGCCTTCCTAATAGCCGTTACATCAGCCAGAAGAAAGCAGAGTTGACAGGATTATCCGTGAGGGAGGACTTCTGTATAGTCCACCCGAACAGGGTAGTATTAAGATTAGACCTGACCTTTATCCCAAAGATCAATTCTATGTTTCATAGAGCACAGGAGTTAGTACTACCAGACTTCTGCCTGGAACTGGTCCATAGCCTAGAAAGGAAATGGCACTCCTTGGACGTAAGGAGAGCTATATGCATTTATATTAAGAGAACAAGGCCCATTAGAAAAACGGAGGCATTGTTCATTTCATTTAGACAGGGCTTGTTGGGACAAAAGGTTTCACCATCAACCATAGGCAGATGGATCAGGACATGTATCACAAAAGCTTATGAAAGCCAATCATTGCAGTTGCCGGGTAACATAATGGCACATTCAACCAGGAGTGCAGCCACATCGGTGGCATGGAACACACAGGCCTCGATTGAAGAGATCTGTAGTGTAGCAATGTGGTCATCGCCATCTCCATCAGAAATTATAAACTGGATACATTTGCATCAGCGGAAGCATCCTTTGGAACAGGGGTCGCCAACCTTTTGGACCTCAGGGACCACCAAACTCATAATTTTAAATTCCAGGGACCACTAACCGGTTATGTGGGTGCAGCCTAATTTGTGGGTGTGGCTTGGTGGTCATGTGACTGGCTGAGCATGGCGTGTATGTAAATATAAATATTTATATAAATATTGAATTTTTTACAAAAAGCAACTTTTATCCAAAATCAGGCAATGCAGGCAGGCAGATTGAGTTGCTCACAGAACTATTCAGTGATCTATCTGCCATCAACTACCTCAGTCTCTCAAATTTGCTTGCCATGAATCTGCACTGAATAACAGAACCTTCATTCCTAAGGGAGGTTCGGCTGTGCTTAAAAGATCTAAAGACTAGCTAGAAAGCAAGAAATCCAACCATTTCCTGCTTCCTAGCTAATCTAAATCTCCCAGCACAGCAGAACAGCTGATGTTCAGAAAAAGGATAAATAGCAATTTTAGCAGGCAAGTTTGCCGGGTAAGGAGTGAGGGGGCGGGGAGCGTTTCTGCGGGCCATGTGGATGGTCCAGCCTTGTGTTTCTGCGCAGCCTGGATTAATTGCTTTGGGGGGGTGCTCTGGGTGTGAGATTTCTCTGCGGCCCACCAAAATTTTCTCACGGCCCACCAGTTGGCGACTGCTGCTTTGGAAGAAGGGTGCTACAAAGAGTTCACAGGGAGATGGGGCCTCGGGACAAGGAGTTGGACCACCCTCAGGACAGTTAGCTTGGGTACGTCCCACGCTTTGGATTCTCCGACACGTACAACTGAGAAAGAGTGTTGGTCTTACCTGAAACGCATCTTCTAGTTGTACGGGAGGAGAATCCAAATCCCACCCTTAGATAGATAGTCCCGAGCACGGAATGGTCAAGAAAGAGCACCAAGAACTTTCCAAGTCAATCATCAGCCTTCATCAAAATCTGGGCATGCGCAGTGGAAAGGGGGCTGGACTAAACTTTGATTGACTCTGTCTTTAAGCAAGGAAGCAGGAGACAGCCCACACTTTGGATTCGCCTCCCATACAACTAGAAGATGCATTTCAGGTAAGACCAATGCTCTTTCTCTGGTATTAATAGTGCTTGTCTTTCCAATTTTCTAATATCATTCTGTAAGTCATTACTTTCTTTTTCTCTTTCTTTTCTCTTTCTGGCATTATATGCTATTGTTATTCCTCTTAGGTAGGCTTTCGTTGTGTCCCACAGATTCTGTAAAGAAGTATGTCATTCTAATTCAAAAAACATTTCTAATTCTTTTTTAAATTTAGCCAAATATTTTTTTGTCTCTCAGAATTTGTGGGTTCAACGTCCATCTTTGTTTTGATTGGCCTTCCCATGTAACTATTAGAGGGTTATGGTCCACCCACACATTTGGTGCTGTTTCTCCTTGCACTATATCTTTCATTAGAGTTTTACTTATACACACCATATCAATTCTCGGCCATGATTTGTGGGGAATAGAATAAAAGGTGAACTGCTTTTCTTTTAGGTTATATGTTCTCGAAATATCAATTAAATTTTGTTCTTCTGCCATATTAAAAATGTTTTTTGAAGGGTGTTCTTTTTTTTCTTTTACTGGTGCTTTGGTAGTCCTTTTTGATGTCTGAGACTGCATTGAAATCTATCATACAAATATCTTCTTTGCCTAATTCTAAGATTTTCTCATGTATTTTTTTTATAGAAAATTTCTTGTTGTTTGTTAGGAGCATATATTGCAACAAATAAAAGTTTCCTCTGTTCCCATACAACTTCTGCCATTAATGTTCTCCCCACTGAACCTGTATATAATACTTTTGCCTCTATCCCTTCTCTAACATATATTACTACTCCTCTCTTTTTTTCTTCCGCTAATGCTGCATAGAGTTTCCCTAATTTTTTATATTGTAGATATTTCTTATCCTGAGCTCTGGATAAGCTCCTGGAGGCACACTATATCCATTTTTTGTTTTACCAATTTCTTTAAGGTTTGATTTCATTTAGATGGAGAATTGAGTCCATTTACGTTTACTGACAATATTTTCAAATTATTTTCCATTTTCCTTCTTTGTTGTTACTACCTAGTTCCTGTTGTTCTTTGCCTCTGTTTGTGCCCTTGTTCTTACTCTGTTCTCTTCTTGTGGTCTTTTCTTTTCTCTACCAACCCTTCCTGCTCTGTTTCTTTCGTTTCTAATTTTTGGTCTTCTTGGCTGCTCGATTCCAATTCTTCTCTGCTGCTACCTGCTTCTTCTGTTCCTACCAGTTGGGTGTGGAAGTCTTGCGCCTTTTCCAAGGTATTTATCTTAAATCTTCTTCCCTTGCCACGACACCAACATTCCTTCTCAGGTGTTACCCATCTAAACAGTATGTTTTAAGTCGAGTGGCCAGGAAGCAATATTCTTTCCGTTGTTCACGCACTCTTTTCGGGATTTGCTTTAGCATAATAATTTCTTTTCCTCTATAGGACATAGGGTCATCTTTGGTGATTTTGTAAATTATATCCCTCACTTTTTTTCACGCAACATGGATGTGGACCTCCTTTGGCAATCTAAACCTTCTGGCATAATTCATGTAAACTCGGTAAACTTCATTCAATTCATTAATTATTTCGCTCTTATCTCTTCAGAGAGCTTCTGCGATTATTTCAGCCATTATTGCTGTTAAGTCTTCTTCCTTCATCTCTTCCACATTCTGAAATCGCAGGTAGAATGAGTCTCTCTCCATTTCCAGCTGGATCAAAGAATTTTCCACTTCCTTATTCCGTTCTTTCATTTTCTGGTCCACCGATTCCAACTTCTGTTTTTTCTGTTCTCAATCATTTGCAGTCTGGTCGTTTTTTTGTAAAACCTCTTGGATCAGCCCCACCTTCTCATCCAGCTTCTGAATATCATTTCTGACTTCTCTTTTCACTTCCTCCCTTTCAATCTTCATTTCTCTGTGGTTTCTAGTCATATTTTCCTGTAGCTTTTATCATTGTTTCTTGTATAGATAATAATGTAGCCTGCATGGTCTGTGCGTTCGTCGCAGAGGTTGTTTTGTCTGTTGTGAACATTCCTTCTATAGATCTTTGTGTAGATGGGGATGGTATAGCTGTTGCTGTTGCTGGAATGGGTTTCTTCCGAGTCTTCACTGTAGTTGTTGTGAAACTTGTCATTTCTTGCAGTATTTTATGTTGCTGTCCTAGTATTTTTTTCTATCTTTTCCCACAACACCGTTCAATGTTCTCCTGATTTCTTCCTCTATTTTCTTTGTGTGTTTTTTCCTACCTTGCAATCTACAGTTTTATATCTTCTATTATACCTCAGGTAGTCCACTAAGTTACAAAGATTACTTATGCTTTGTAATTTTACCAATCCTGTTAATCAAAGCAACACTGATAATAATGATTTAGCTGTTCTATTGGTTCTAATTATTCTTATATACTTCTGTTATATTTATAACTTAATATTTTAAATAGTTAAATGTATAATTAAATATTTAAACAATTAATTGGCAATTTAACATATAGTTGTACAATCAATATCCTATTTCTAACAATCAATATAATTCTATAAAGTCCCAGTTCAATATCCCAATATACTTTTGATAACAATTATACTTTGCTGAGAAAAACACTGAATCTAAGTTGTATCAATTTTTACAATCCTTTTACGTTCACTATATTATTTTCTTTAAATTGTTTTGCAGAACCAATCCCTTAATTATATACTCTTCTTTAAATTCTATTCAATATTATCTATATTAACATGAATGTTTTAATATTATTAACATTGAATATAATGCACCACCAAAAGAGAGGTAAAGAAAAAGAAAAAAGAAAAAAATTTAACCACAATATTTTTAAATGTAATAATCCAACCTGACAGTTGATTTCAAACAAAATTATTTTTTGAAACTCCAATCCGGTTGCTGTATCTTACTGTAGTGCTGAAAACTGTAGTCTTAAAGATTTAATTTTAACTTTCCACTTTCAAAATGTCCGGCTCTTACAATTGTGCACAGTGAGAGTCACTCTCCTGTCCTTATTTTTTTTCTCTGCTTTGTTTCGTCTGCTGCAACAGTGTTATTCTTTTGAAAGCTCGAATTTCAACCACACTCCCAGTTTAATCACTTTCACCTCCTCCAACAAAACACAGTTAATCTCTTACTTTTTCTTCTCTTTTGTTCTTTCTTCACAGTTGCTGGCACCCCCTTTCTTCCTCTCCCTGTTCTGCTCTGCTCATTATTTCACTGTCCGTGTGCCTCCTTGAGCTTTCACTTTTACTGTCACTTTCTGGGCTCTCTGTCTCTTAGCACTTTCGCAAAGCCAAACTCTTTCACTCTCACCGCTATTGACACACCATTCTCTCTCTTCGCTTCCCTTTCTCTCTTGCGGGACGTCAGATCTCTTGGTCGTCCATTAAAGTCCGACTCTCCAGATCCGGCTCCGAGGGCTCCTCCGCTTGCGTTGTTGGGGATCGCACCTGTTAGGGATACACCCTTGCAGAATCTGCACGGCAGTCAGGCAGGCAGGCAAAATATGTGAGATAAACGTTTTTGTAGCTTACACTCAGTAAAACAGATACACTGTGCTAGTTAAATAGTTTATTCCACTAAGAGTTTTAGCATAGTCAAACAGTCCATATATCATTCACTAGTTCAGTCCATCCGGGGATTATTCAGTTGCAAATTCCAGTGTTGAAAAAGAGGTCAGTAAACTTACAAATATCAGTCCAGTAATATATCTCCTCGCAGTAGAGATACAAAGAAAATCAAACCTTTCTTCCTCCAACATTCAGCAAGTCAGCAATAGGGAAAACACGCAGTTAGCAAACCATCAATCCATCAAACCATCAATCGTCAGGAATTGTCAGGTTCTCTTGCTCCCTCTTATGGCGGTTTCACACCGCACCCAAAATTACATGCTTTGCAGTTTAAAGTGACACACACTTAAACTTACAATCATAGTTTATATATATTATTTTAGCCAAACTATGTTAGGTAACCTTGTTATTCCTAACAGCACCTTCCCGCTATGTCTCTGAAGGTTCCTCTCTTCTTTGCCGACTCCCCCCGGGCCATTTTTTGCCTCAGACGGCCCCCGGATCACTGGATTTCGGCAAAGGGAGGCAGAGTGTTGTCACCCCGTGCTGTTCAGTCCCACGTCACCACCGGAAGTCATTATGATTTTAATTTATGCTTCATTTTAGCTTCCACTGATTTTGGGGAAACTTGTGCAGGATTTACCTTTTCTCTTCACTCCTTTTTCTAAGTCACTGGGACTTTAGAAAGTGGGGATATTCCAGTTTCTCTCTAATCAGTGGTCAGATATTATAAATACTTTAGCTAAATTTTCTGTTCTTGATTGGTTTTTTTCAGCAGTTGTAATCAATCAGCCCCCTCATTATTGGTTGTTTTTGGTTTTTTGTATTTTAAATAAAGTACCATCTACAAGACTTTGTGGGTAATCTCCATCTATCCTTTTCCTTAGCTTCAAAATAATATAGGAAAATTATCTGAGTTAACCAGTGGTGGATAATTGATTAAAAAATAATGTAATTTTGTATTAATGGATTTTCCTGCTACAGTTAAGCTGTTTTTTTGTATAAAAGAATGAACTAGAGCAAAACACATCTGCATAATAGATCATGCACTTAACCTGAATGTTATGCAAATTATCTCTTGTTTTTGGTAGATTACTTCTGAATAAATACGGTTGCATTATTGGCTTAGCCAGTTAATACATACTTTCCTTGGAGTAACACTAATCTGCCCAGTAATTAATAGCATTTTTTCTTCATGGTTATCTGTTCAAGCAGTATGTTGGTGCCTGTCAGACAGACATTGACTTTCTGTGAAGTAAAATCCATCTGCAAAAGAGGCCTAAGGCGTGTGTGTGTCTGTGTATTGATGGGTAGATATGTTCAGGGGTGGGATTCAAATTTCTTAACCTGTTCTGTGGATGTGGCCTAATTTGTAGGAGTGGCTTGGTCATGTGACTGGGTGGTCATGGCTTGTATGTAAATGCACTGCTCAAAAAAAATAAAGGGAACACAAAAATAAGACATCCTAGATCTGAATGAATGAAATATTCTTATTAAATAACAGAAAAAAAATCACACAAAATCACACAAAAATTATCAATGGAAATCAAATTTAGCAACCCATGGAGGTCTGGATTTGGAGTTACACTCAAAATTAAAGTGGAAAAAAACACTACAGGCTGATCCAACTTTGATGTAATGTCCTTAAAACAAGTCAAAATGAGGCTCAGTAGTGTGTGTGGCCTCCACATGCCTGTATGACCTCCCTACAACGCCTGGGCATGCCTTGAGGAGGTGGCGGATGGTCTCCTGAGGGATGTCCTCCCACACCTGGACTAAAGCATCCCCCAACTCCTGGACAGTCTATGGTGCAACGTGGCATTGGTGGATGGAGTGAGACATGATGTCCCAGATGTGCTCAATTGGATTCAGGTCTGGGGAAGGGGCGGGCCAGTCCATAGCATCAATGCCTTTGTCTTGCAGGAACTGCTGACACACTCCAGCCACATGAGGTCTAGCGTTGTCGTGCATTAGGAGGAACCCAGGGCCAACTGCACCAGCATATGGTCTCACAAGGGGTCTGAGGATCTCATCTCGGTACCTAATGGCAGTCAGGCTACCTCTGGCGATCACATGGAGGGCTGTGCGGCCCCCTAAAGAAATGCCACCCCACACCATTACTGACCCACTGCCAAACCGGTCATGCTGGAGGATGTTGCAGGCAGCAGAACATTCTCCATGGCGTCTCCAGACCCTGTCACGGCTGTCACATGTGCTCAGTGTGAACCTGCTTTCATCTGTGAAGAGCACAGGGTGCCAGTGGCGAATTTGCCAATCTTGGTGTTCTCTGGCAAATGCCAAACGTCCTGCACGGTGTTGGGCTGTAAGCACAACCCCCACTTGTGGACGTTGGGCCCTCATATCACCCTCATGGAGTCTGTTTCTGACTGAGCAGCCACATGCACATTTGTGGCCCTCTGGAGGTCATTTTGCAGGGCTCTGGCAGTGCTCCTCTTGTCCCTCCTTGCACAAAGGAGGAGGTAGTGGTCCTGATGCTGGGTTGTTGCCCTCCTACGGCCTCCTCCATGTCTCCTGATGTACTGGCCTGTCTCCTGATAGCACCTCCATGCTCTGGACACTACACTGACAGACACAGCAAACCTTGCCACAGCTCGCATTGATGTGCCATCCTGGATGAGCTGCACTACCTGAGCCACTTGACCAAACCATCAGCATAGGAACTGAGAAGTGGTCTGTGGTCACTACCTGCAGAACCACTCCTTTATTAGGGATGTCTTGCTAACCGCCTCTGCTTTCCACCTGTTGTCTATTCCATTTGCAGAACAGCATGTGAAATGGATTATCAATCAGTGTTGCTACCTAAGTGGACAGTTTGATTTCACAGAAGTGTGATTGACTTGGAGTTACATTGTGTTGTTTAAGTGTTCCCTTTATTTTTTTGAGCAGTGTATTATAAATATTTATGTAAATATTGATTTTTTTTATTAAACAAGAGCAACTTTTACCCAAAAGCAGGCAAAGCAGGCAGGCAGATTGAGTTGCTCACAGAATCACCGATTCACTTAGCAATCTATCTATCTATCTGCAATAAGCTACCCGAGTCTGCACTGAAAAGTAGAAGCTTCAATCCTAAGGAAGGTTCAGCTCTGCTTTTAGATTAGCTAGAAAGCAAGAAATCCAAGGATTCTATAGAACCGGGCTGAACCGGTAGCATCCCACCCCTGGTTATGTTTCAGTAGCTCTAGCAACTACGGTACTTAATGTGCACATTAAAGAACAGCTCAAGTCTTTTTGTTTGTTCCTCTGAATTCAGAGATGTACCTAGGACTAAGCCTAAAAGAATTGAAAATAAGGTTTAAATTAGCCTTGATACTGGGCAAATTAAATCATTGATTTAAACTGCCTTTTAAAAAATTGGTCCACTTTGACTCAGGGCAAGTATTTGTGCCTGCACAGTAAATAACAATTCGCTCTTTAAATGCAGTTTTGTATGCTAGGAAGTTTTCTGTTGTTTTTTTTTTCTTCAGAAACCAGTCAGGAATTCTTTTAAGAAGTGAGAAAAAAAGCTCCCTAAATATCAGAAAACTGCTTTTTAAGTTACTGTTAAGCTTAAGTAAAGCTTGAGAGAGCTCCTAAAACAGGATAGGCAGGAAGTGATGGAGTGTCCTCTATAATTTGTTGTAGATCAAGATTTATAGTTTCCTAGTTTCTGAATGAAATCCGGGTTTACCTAACACAGTTGGCTAAAATGTGGATGGTAAATTTGTGGCACTCTGAATATTCACGCACCCATGTTTAATTGAATGTACCTTGTTATTTACACAGCACACTGACCCATAAATGAATTGACTATATTTTTGTTTAGCAAAAGTGAATTTGGGCATGTTAATAAACCATAGTACAGTTAGCCATGGGTTAGCATATTGTGTTAACATAACCAAACTGTGTTAAAGTGCTTTTCCTTTCTGTTGATTTGATTGATGAAAACCAGGAAGGGCTTTTTCTGCAAAATGATCTGGGAATGGAGTCTTATACTTCTGTAATCACAAATTCATGGTCTAAGTACTCATATGGCCCTGTATTTTACGTCCTCCAGATGTGTTGGTGTATACTTTCATAGAATCCACCATGTGCTTACCCTGTTTCTCCAGCATGCCTATGGGAGAATCCACACATATGGGTTGAATCTGCCTTTCTGCCCAGAGACTGAGTCATCAATCTTTGCTACGCCTCTTCCTGTCAGGCCAGGAAGTCCCCAGGCCCCAGTCATGATTCAGTCTTGGCCCAGTAGAGATGTGGCAAAGGTTGGCTCCAGTAATAATTTGGAAAAGCAGCATTCTTCACTGTGGGGATTCTCCAAAGGTTTGCAAAGAGTTAAAAAAACTGAAGACAGGCAGCAATTCAAAATTTACAGCCTGCTCTTTGCTCCATTATCGCATGGCTTCCCCTGAACTACCAATTAAGGCCTAACAGCCCAGGCAAACAGAGGAGAGCTCGATCATTATTTCACATTATGTTCTCCAGCTGTGATTAACATCAGTGCGCTGTTTGTACGCCCAGGCTCAACCGGGTAACTCCAGAGGCCAAACTTATAGCGCCAAACAGCTGATCTTCGGGGCCGCCAGCCGCCATTTTGCTTGTAGACCTTGTGGCGAGTTGTGCAGGCTACCTCAGGAAACTGGTAGTGCTGCCACTGCCACTGCCACAGCCCAGGGAAGGAATCCAGGGCTGAAGTGCTGCCTAAAGGAGAGGATTTGTAGGATTGAGCACTCAGCTCTCCTAGCATGATATCTGGGCTGAAAGCACAATGGCTGATCACTCAGCAGCCAGCATGGAGCCCAAATGTGCTAAATGGTCCAAGCAGAGATCTAAGAAGGTCAGATCTGCAAGTAAAGAGGTAGCAAAGAAGATAAAGGCAAAAGCTCTTTGTTCAAGGAAGCCTACCAGAGCAGAAGAAAGGGATGCACGCAGAAGGCAGAGGGTGCTTGAAAAACAATTCTCCAGAGCTGAGAAGCAAGCAGAACAGGAGAGGTATTCCCCCCTTCAGCCAGAGTCTGGTTGTTCCTGCCCTAGCAGCCATTAGTGCAAGACTTGCCTGCAGTTCAAGGATCATGGTCACCAGAGGGAGATAGACAGCAGGAGTATATTCCCTCTGCAGAGGAAATCCAAACTGAAAGATTTCCCTTTGATTGCATGATCCCTAACCCTTCAGATTTACAGGTCAGAGACAGAGCTAGGGTTCCAGAGGCCACATTCACTCCCACTGCAGTGTGGCTCCACTCAGCAGATAGATTGGGACCAGAATGATCAGATGTGAGATCAAGGCCCTCATTTCTCAGGCCATTTCTCAGGGGGTGGCCTCCACCCTGAAGGGGAGGAGCCATTCCTCTTCCCTAGGATCTGAACCTCCATTGCAATCTGTGCAATACCAAACCTCTGTGGAATCCCTTAGACACCAAAGGGCTGCTTCACTGGCCTAATCCATCAGGAGTACAGGGAGACATATTTGAGAGTAGTGTTTGAATAATACACACACAGCACACAGATACACTGTACAGTAAATGTAGGTTTTTTACTTTCAATAAAGGTTTAAGCAAAGTTTAAGATAAGCAGTCCAAAGTCATTCACAGGTTAAATCAGTCAGTTTTTAGTCCAGGGATAATCCAATAACAAAGTCCAGTGTCAATAAACAGTTCAGTATCAGGCTTACATCAAATCCAAGAATATCAGTCAATTCGAAGGAACAGCAATACTCTCCAACAGAAGGAAACAGAGACTCACTGAGACTTTTTCTGAGACTAAGATTAAACAACCCAGGTTTCTGGTTCCATCTTATGGCCGTTTGAGAAACCACACCCAATTACAAATTTTGCATTTTTCTTAAAGATACAGTTTTAAAATGTCTATCCTGGTTTATATATTTCCAACCCAAATCACTGTTAGGTGACTTACATTCCTAACAGCCTTCCAGCTAAAGCTGCTCTGCTGTATAACTTAGACTAGAAATAACAGCAGCTTGTTGCCCCAGTTGTATATATGTACTCAAGGTATGGCTTTCGGTTAAAATTCCTTTCATTTTCATGTTTAGTTTGGTTTGGTTTTCCGATTGAGGAAACAAGACATTTGAGCTGTGCAACCAACAACAGTTAGTCCTCAACTTACAACAGTTCATTTAGTGACTGTTCGAAGTTACAATGGCACTGAAAAAAGTGACTTTTGACCATGTTTCATACCTGTGACTGTTGCAGCCTCCCCATGGTCACATGATTTAAATTCAGATGCTTGATGACTGGTTCATATTTATGATGGTTGCAGCATCCCGAGGTCATCTTTTGTGACCTGACAAGCAAAGTCAATGGGGAAGCCAGAATCACTTAATCACCATGTTACTAATTTAACAACTGAAGTGATTCACGTAATAAATGTGGCAAGAAAAGTCATAAAATTAGGCAAAACTCACTTAAAAATGTCTTGGCAACATACATTCTGGGCTCAATTGTGGTCCTAAGTCAAGGACTACCTGTATGTGATTTGGCCTTTTGAGAGGCCATTTCTAAAGCACAAGTGAGATTTACTGAGGAATGCAGCCTGGAAGATGTTAGGGACACTGATGGCAGAACCTCTTTTCCACTCAGGGCTTGTTTGGATTTGATGGCTTAAAGCAGGGGTGTCAAACTCAAGGCCCGCAGGCTGGATCAGCCCACAGGTTGCTTAATTCTGGCCCATGGGGCAGCCATGGAAATGGCAAAGGACCAGCCTGCAGTGCCTCTGCCAGCAAAAATGGAGCTTGGGAGGGCTGCGCACAGTCCTCCCAGGCCCCATTTTTGGCCTAGACAGCCTCCTGCAGCCCTCTGCCAGCAAAAATGGAGCCCGGGGGTGAAGGAGGCCATCCAGGCCAAAAATGGAGCCCGGGGGGGGGGGCACATGTGTCCCCTGGGCTTTGTTTTCACTGGTAGAGGGCTAGCAAACTAAAAGCAAACAAAAAATATTTTTCCTCTTTTGCATTTGAGCATCCAAGAAGGGACATGAAAGGAGAAAGGGAAAGAGGAAAGACAAAAAGAAGGGAAGGGAAGGAAGGAGGAAGGGAAAGGGAAAAGAAGAAGGAAGAAAGAGGAAAAAAGAAAAAAAAAAGTCTTGCCTTAGCACTTGGCCAGCAGCAGATGGCAAGGTTCCTTTGGAGGACAAGCGTTTGGCGCTCTCCCTGTTCTCATCTTCCTCCCCTGGAGCCAGTGGATGCCCCCAACCCCTCCTGGGCCACCACAGGTGCCCCTGACCCTGGCCATGCCCGCCCCCCAGAGGTCAAACACAACCCTGATGTGGTCCTCAATGAAATCGAGTTTGACACCCCTGGTTTAAAGAGACATGAGAAAGGAAAGGGATAGTCTCTCTTTAAGGCTCAAAATTGGCTACCATGACTGAAAAGGAGGGAGGGAGGCTCTTTTTCTTCCTTGTGTTTGTACTTCTGAAAATGCATTGTCTCTCACTCCAAAATCTCAGGATCAGTGGTGGTATTCAGCCGGTTTGCATTGGTTCAGGCGAACTGATACGAAGAATTTGGCATTGGTCGCCGAACCGGTAGTAACTTCTGGCTGGCCACGCCCCTGACCTGGTGGCCCGGTCACCACTCGCTCCCTTGCCCCACCTGCCCGATGCTTGCTCACCCTGCCCGCCTGATGCTCACCCTGCCTTGTCACTCCTCCCCTATGCAGCATAGTCCTTGTGGCTTGCCTTTAACCTGTCTTCTCATGTGCCTGCGCTCCAACTCAGCAGCACTGATCTTGACTGCTCACAGGTAAGCCTGTGAGTCATGCTAAGCCCCCCCCCCCCGCCATTCCCGGGACCTTGCCTCCTTCCTCGCCCTTTGCCTCCTTCGCCATTCCCGGGACCTTGCTTGGCCTCCCTTGCCTGGCCTCCCTTGCCATTCCCAGGACCTTGCTTTACCTCCCTCGCCCTTGCCAGGCCTCTCTTGACGTTCCTGGGACCTTGCCGAGGGCCCCCCACCATTCCCGGGACCTTGCCTTGCCTGCCTCGCCATTCCCAGGACCTTGCCGGGCCTCCCTCGCCGGGGCTGGGTGCCTCCTGGTCCTCTTCTTCCAATACTGTCATCTGGGGAGATGAAGCTTCTCCCCTTTTCCAGAGCAGCCCCATCCCTGAAAGAGGCTCCTCTGAGGGATTCAGCAAACCCCCCGACCTCCCCCCAGGATTTGGAGAGTGGGCTCCAGTGGGGGCCTTTGAGGCTGGATGGCATTATGAAAAGAACATGGATTTTTCTGTACGTTAATGGGGGGGGGGAATTGATTGGCGGCAGAGCATGAGGTCGAAGGGGTGATGCGGGCAGAGGCATTGCCTGTGCTTTTTTTCATGTCTACTTTTTAAAAACTTGTATATTCTCGTCAGCCAGCTAGCCAGAGAGCTGCCGGGCTCTGGACAAAGTGCAGATTATTTTGTTGTTTAAACAGTGAGCGGCGAAGGTGTGGGGCAATGCGGGGCAAGGATTTCAAGGGAGGCGGAGGAGGCAGCCGTCTGTTGCTGGTCGTGGCTGGTGCAGCTGCCCCATTGGGGCAAGGCAAGAGGCAAGCAGGGAGGTGCAGCTTCAGGATGAGCATTGGGGGCCTGGGGAGCTGCAAGGGGTGCTGGGGGGGTTGCGGTGTTTGTTGCTAAGGGTAGAGTGGTTTTTTTTTAAAAAAAAAATTTTATTTGGGTTTTCACAAAAACAAACTACAAATAAAACATCTGTTTTGAAAATAGCATGGTCCCAGGTTATCACTTCTTCATACACAAAACTCAATTTCATGCTCATTTTTATGTTCTATTCCATATCTTATTACCATTTTATATTTTCTCCATAGTTTTTTCCCTCTTCTGATTTTCTCAACTTCGTTTTAATTATCTCAATTCAAATAATTATAATTTTGTCTGTCCTGTTACAATTTCACATTATCTTTTCTTATTAAGCAAATTTTTCCCTGTAGTTACCAATTAGAGTATGACATATTTATATCCTTTAATTTTATCCATTCAAGCTCTTATTTAAGCTTCAATGTATAGCTTTAAGATTATAGCATTCAATATAATACATAACTTCCAATCGAATTCTGCTTGGTACATTCTTAAAATAGACAGTATATTCTTAAAAATAAAAAATTATATATATATGTAAATAAAACGCATTCCATTCCAATTCAATTCTATCATTAATATGCATTAAAATCTTAACATCTTTAACATTTCAATTGAATATCATACTTCCTTGGGAACACTAATACACTTTCCATAGTTAATGCTTTTTTTCCCCATATTTCTCACTTATATTTTTATAAATCATTACTAATAATTAAAAATGTTCCCTTTTAATTCTCTCAATCATTTTAATTCATTTATTTATTAACAAACATCCCACTACATTACAATAAATATTTTATCCATCATCATATTTTCTAAAGTTATTTCTATTTGTAATATAACAAAGCTATCTTATGTACCTTTGCAGAATCCCTTTTACAATTAAATTTTCACCCATTATCTCTAAACAAACTTATGGTTACAATCCTTATATCTTTTCCCTGTTTCTCCATTTCTTGTTTCTGTCTTGTACAACTTCTTTTCCTTGCCTTCTTCCCCCTCTTCTTCTCCCTCCCCTTTTTACCCCCTCGTCTCTCTACTTCTAACTCTCTCATCTGTAATCCCCTCTTCTGTTGCTTTCTAATATTATACTTATCTTTCAAATTGTCCTTCTTTTTGGTTGTTTTTTCTACTCTTTAACCTTTCACTCTCTCCCCCCTTTTCTTTTTTCCCCCCACTTAAAATTATTTGATCATTAAAGATGGCTTCTTCTTTGTCTCAATCTTCTTGTTCTGCAAGTGTTTCTTCTTGCTTCTCGTAGTTCCAGATCTCCATTTCTAAGAATTGAAACACGAAGCCAAAAGAACTTCTCCCTTCTTGTGCGTCTACTTTCCATTTTTTAAGTTCCATTTTCAGTTCTTCTAAGAGTGATACCATTTTAAAAACTTTTAAACAACCACCCAGTTAATTTTAGTCATCTAGATGCAAAAACCAAAAATCACCAAGTAATCCAAATAATCCAAGGCTGTTTCTACTTGCTTCTTTTTTCCACTTTTTCTTCCTGGGGTTCTATTATTTTGTTACCAAGTTTCCATTAAAATGTATCTTTGAGGAATCTTGTTAAAATTTCCCTGTAAATTCCTTTTAATTACAGTTCCATTCCTTAATCCCAGGCAGTCTCCTCCATTTTTCCAGATCCTGCCCTTC